GATTTTGGGCAGATTTGAGGGATTTTTGGGGTGATTTTCAGGGGATTTTTTGGTGATTTTCGGGGGATTTTGGGAGTGATTTTGGGCAGATTTGAACATGATTCTGGGAGTGATTTTGGGCAGATTTGGGATGATTTTGGGAGTGATTTTGGGCAGATTTGGGACGATTTTGGGAGTGATTTTGGGCAGATTTGAACGCGATTTTGGGCAGATTTGAACGTGATTTTGGGAGTGATTTTGGGCAGATTTGGGGACAATTTTGGGAGTGATTTTGGGCAGATTTGAGAACGATTTTGGGCAGATTTGAGGACAGTTTTGGGAGTGATTTTGGGGAGATTTGAGGGATTTTTGGAGTGATTTTCAGGGGATTTTTTGGTGATTTTCGGGGGATTTTGGGAGTGATTTTGGGCAGATTTGAGGACAATTTTGGGAGTGATTTTGGGACGATTTTTTGCACAATTCTCCTTGACCCCAAGCCCTCCAGACCTGCACAAGGCCCTGGTGTCCCTGGCCACGGCCACGCTGGAGTCCATCGTGGAGGAGAGGTGACCAAGGGGGGTCTGGATCCCCCTTCCTGAGCTCCCCCAGCCCCTTCCCCACATCCCTCCCTCACTCCCACCCTCCTGGGCAGGTTTGGCTCTCGCTGTGCCCGCATCTTCCGGCTGCTCCTGCGCAAGAAGCACCTGGAGCAGAAGCAGGTGGAGGATTTTGCCATGATCCCAGCCAAGGAAGCCAAGGACATGCTCTACAGGATGCTCTCGGAGAACCTGGTGGCCTTGCAGGTGAGGGAATTGTCCAGGTGTGACAGCTGGANCTTTAAAGGCCTTGCAGAGAGAGATAGATCTCCATTTTTGGTTTGTTAAAGTGCTGTAGAACTCAGGGTTTGTGAGAATGAACAGAGATAAAAATTAATTAATTATCTGAGTCCAAAGAAGAAATTCCATCTCACACATTTAACCCCAACCCTGGCAAAGAGAAGCAAAAGCTCCACAGGGAATCCTGAGGGTGAGGGGACGCAGGGACACCTCCAGGGAAGGGGGGAAATCTCCATTTGGTGCCCACCATCCCTCTGCCCTTGCTCAGGAGATCCCCAAGACCCCAGACCACGCTCCGTCCCGCACCTTCTACCTGTACACAGTGAACGTGATGGCTGCTGCTCGCATGCTGCTGCACAGGTGCTACAAGGTGAGTGCAGGGGCCAA